GGGAGGAGAGAGGAGAGAGAGAGAGAGAGAGAGAGAGAGGGAGAGAGGGAGAGAGATAGAGGAGAGGGGAGAGAGAGAGAGAGAAAAACAGTCTAGCTGGTCATTACCATGGCGATGGCTAGTGTCATGCAGAAAATTATACCTCACTAACTCTCTTGCTTAGTGGCTACTCCGCTACTGACAGCGGGGGCTAAGCAAGGAAAGGAAGGAAGGAGGGAGGGAGGGAAAGAGAGAGGAAAGAAAGATGGGTGGATGAATGCCTATAACAACTGTTTCTCAATGACAAGGAAAAAAGGGGGCGTGCTGTGAATTAACACAGATTCATGGGACACATCAACTAAATACAACATCTAGCTGTAAATTTTAGTGCTCTTCAGGAATTATTTTTAATATTTTAATTGAAAGTTTTGTTAATGATATGGTGGTTATATATATTTTAAACAGTGCTTACCTTTAAGATATATATTTTTATTCAAATATTTACTAAATACTTTATGAAATACTAAATGTTCTATATATAAAATATGTATATTTACTGAAAATTAAGACTAAGGATTTGCTTTAAAATAATCCAGTAATTAAACAGACAGACAAGCAGGATGACAGCCATGAATTAAAACTGCTAATGCTCCATAACTCATACACAGAGACTCACTGAAGTTTCCACAATAGAAACAAATCCAATCTCACATTAAAAGAACTTACATTACATGATAAATCATACATGTACAAATTACTTCCAGTCTTGCAAATACATACCGCTTTGGGGGAAATGCTGCACTAAAGCCAATAAAGCACACTATGCTTGGTGATGACAAAAACCTCTAATTCCATGACCTAAGTAAAAACTTTAAATGCCACAACTAATCAAAAGATATAGTTTTATTTTATTTTATTTTATTTTAGGTATTAGGATTTGAACCCAGGGCCTCTGCACTGAACAACCTCCCGGGGCCTCTTACTTTTTATTTCGAGACAGGATCTTCCTAAATTGCCAAGTTACCAAGGCTGGACAAGAGACAGTTTAACTCAAGAGAAAAACATGCTCACTAAACTTACTATCATCGTCAATCCTTCAAGATAAACACAAGAAAATAATTCCTTCACAAAGAACAAAACACCTATATAATCGCACAGGGAAATGTTACATGGCGCAACAGAATAAACACATCAGAAGGTTTCAGGATGCCCAGATGAGCTTGCTGTGGTGGTGCACACTTGTAATCCCAGCACTCTGGAGTCTGAGGGAGAAGGATCACAAGTTCAAGTCCATCCTGGGCAATTTACAAACTTAAAAGAGACCCATCTCAAGAAATAAAAGAGGGCTGGGATATAGCTCAGTGTGAAGGCCCCGGGTTCAATTCCCAGTTACCTCCCCTTCCCCCAAAAAAAGCTCAGGTGGAGGCACTACAAAGATATACAGTTAAATAAGAAATAGAAGATGAAAGGTCAGACTTTGCAAGACATAACATGTGCCTGTGTATCAGCTTTTCTGAGAATCAGGAGTGCAACAAAAGATTAAGTGAAAGATAAAAATGCCACATTCTGTTTACTTCAGAGCTGTAGTTGATTTTCACCCTAAGATTTAATCTGTATATTGAAAACGTGGAGTTGAGGGGGGTAATTTTTAAAAAACTAACAATCTGACAGAGTTTTATTCAAACCCAATAAAAACTGCAGAGTTAGTTATTCTTCCATGACACCAGAGAGGAGCTCTAAAGGGAACCTCCTATCACAGTACCAGAAAGAAGGGAGAAGATGAATTATTCAAGAAAAACTGGAGAGAAGAGAAGGCTTTAGAAGTAGAATCTAGAAATAGCAGAAGAGAAAAAGTAGGTGACCACGTTGTGGGGCAGTGGGGAAGAAGGAATGAAAGAAATAGGAGGACAGGTGAGAGTCAAAGTTTAGAGCATCTTTCGCCACAGTTTCAGGCCAGGGATTTAGCTTAGTGGTTCTGCCGCTGGCTGACTTGCTGTTTTTTTGTTTTGTTTTGTTTTTTGGTACCGGGGATCGAACTCAGGTCCTTGCGCTTGCAAGGCAGGCCACCGAACCTCTGAGCTAAAT